TTCCTACTTTTTAATTTCTGTTTTGCATGGATCAGAGTCCTTCATCGGAAACCGATAGCAACTTACTCACTCATGGAATCCACCGCCTTTCATTGAATCCAAAGGTTCATCACAGTGTTCACAAGATTATCCTTATTCAAATTCTAGCCACTCTCAAACATTTAACTTCATTACAATCCATTTTAATATTATCCTACAACTTACTCTTATGTTTCAGGGTAAATTTAAAGTGTCATAGAAGATGCTGTTTAATTTACTTTTTCTTACAATCTCTGATTGATTAATTAGGTTAATGGACCTATAATAACTTTACCTAGATTCTAGGTTGTCCCCAGACATTGTGGCAAAGGCAAAGAAATGCCCGTCCTGCCAAGAATTGAAGCCCGAACGCCCAGTTCGTAGCTAGTAGCCTGAAAGAAACGTCGTGCCATTTCAGATTCCCCAATCCGGATTGACGGAGGAGTTACTTATATACTTTGTATATCATCTTGGAAATTCAGCGGACGCCGACTTCCTTATGAGCTCGGCGTAAACCGTAGTCAGAAATGTGGGGCGCACGCGATGCCTTTTCTAATAAAGTAACTTTTCTATTTGTGTAACTTTTTTTGAATTCGAATCGTGTCATTGGAAAACAGAGACAGAACAACGGCGAAGGAATAAAATGTACGGAGAAGAAACAGGGAAAAAGAATAGAAAAAAATGAAGATGTCATATTTGTTTTTATATGATATGTTCACTCCCTTTATCACTTTTTCCACCCCTGTTTCGAAACCGTAGACTCCAGATTCAGAATTTTCAGCTGTCTTGTTGTAGTGTCCGATTGGACATAGAAATATTTGGTAATTACGTGTTGACAGGAGAAGACTCCAGCGACGTGCCAGCACGTACAAGCAGCGTTGAGGTCCTACGCAGAGGCACTCAAGAATTCAGTGTTGTCATCCCCGAATGTTAGCAATGAAATAAAAAGAACGTAGAATTTACTCAGTTCCAGCAACGGAGTAAGGAAATAAATTTGTATGTGCCATCATAAGATGCATTTTGTAGCTGTTAATAAGTCATTTAATCAGTTTCTGTCTGCGCTGATACAACTTCAGTAATCCTGATGCTGTAGAGTAGTGACAGCTCTTCGTCATAATTTAGAGGTCAACTTTTCTAACTGGAGTTAGTTTTTAGGTTTTCTCAGTCCCTCGAGGCCAATGTCTTGAAGTAGGCATATTCTTCCCAGTCTATCACGATCATCCTGGCACCTGATATTCTGTGCATCCGATGAAACGTAGGGACAAAGAATCTTTCTCTCCAGTGAACTGACATTTCACTCAACTTATCATTATAACACAGACATCTTTATCTGGGTAAAATGCGCTTAGAAACGGACAGGAGATATTATGCATGAAGCTAAAATTGTGTTACAATTCCATCAAATTTGAAGGTTCTGTCCCGGTGTGGGAATGCGAACTGTGTAGACAAATCCTGGCCACGTGAATGTTAAAACTAAATTTCCTCTTATGAAAATTAGTAGCAATGGGTATTGGATCACTCATGCTGGGCAGAACCCAGTTGGTGAACAACATTTTTACAGGGAGTGTGGCCACAGGCCCATTTGTGCAAAGAGTACCAAAAAAAAAATGTAAGGCAAGCTCCAAGCATCCACTGGGTTACCTCCATTTTAGCGTCTTCATGTCCAAACTGAAGGATAGAGTTGAGAAGGCAAGTTCACGTATTCATTTTTTAGGTACCTTTTTGAGCAGAGATGTTTTATAGTTGAAAGCGTTGTTTGATTGATAAATAGAGATTTTAAAATCCCAGGGCGACTGAGATAAGGTAAGTACTTGTACATAGTGCATTTGAGAGCTCATGTGACACGCATTAGAAAATTAAAGCAGTGGGTTCATTCATCTTTTGGCAAAATGAATTTTCTTAAAAGAATGCTTTGCAGTGAGGAACTCTGAAATTGTTTCTGTGAATTCTTTGCTCCACCAGCCACCTTGCTAGCATCTGATGGGATTTCTGTGTGTTTCTTTGTGGTATTTAAGTTTTTAGCAAATAAATTAATTTACAAGGAAAAAGAATGGGATTTTTTTTTAATATGGGTTGGGTCAGGTCCGGTGATATTCTTTGTGTGTCTCCATCTAGAGTATTTATTTTCTGTCTGTCATCATTCCTGCAGCTTTGTTCTTGGTCTCCCCGTGGGCCATCTTGAATTTATTTTCACATGTGAAGCTGCCCCTTGGCAGTCTCAATGCTCAGTATCTTATTCAGCTGAGAGCGTATTTATTTCTAGGGACAAGTGAAGGAAGCCACAAACAAAGAAGACCCTACAATTTATGCTTGCATCTGCGCTTTTGCTGAAATTAAGTGAACAGTTCTCAACCTTGACAAGTTTCCTGTAGCTTTGCCCTCCACCCCCACAACTCCTACATCCGAGTGATGAAGATGGCACTGGAACTCGTGAAGTTGAAGTTGAGGTTCTAAGAGCGGAGGCCACAGGCCTCACTGTTGCTGGTGATGTTACAATATCACGTGTAAATCTGTGCGCTTAATTCTCTTCAGTCTTGTGTCATGTTTGATGAAATATTTGTTAAAGATCGAAGTTCAGGATATTTTCTTTGTGTGTGCATGTGAATACACGCACACATTCCTTCAGAACAAGTATAAAAGGGGATAGAAAAGTTGTTATAAGAATTGAAACTAAAGGTTCATTTTGTTGGGAAGGCTCCCATCTTACACAAAAAAATATATAAATTAGTGATGAATCAATGTTTTTCGTGTGTTAACCTCATGCCACTGAAAGTAGATATGTGACTGGCAGGTAATGCATAAGGACCAGCGTATTATATCACCTTGAAGTTAAGCATTTAAAGGATCCTCATATGTCAGTAAGAACACTTCCAAAAAATTAGCATTAGATACCATTATACTCTTTTCATGGTGCCCAGTTTGCACTGTGTTCATTGATAAC